GAGGTTTACACGGCAATTCTGGTTTTGCCCGGGAGCCGGGCTCTAGGCCTGGCCTGCTGTAGTTGCCCTTAAGATTTTTCACGTTGGTGTGAGGCAATACTGTGTGAAAAATATGTGTGGAGTAATGTATATATAAAAAAAAAAAAAGTAAAGATGCGTTGTGTTCCCGTTTGTTTTAATTTGTTTTCTAGCATTCTTTTGATCTGATGATCTGCTCCCCTTCTCCCCCCCCCCTCCTTTTTTTTTTAGGTAAAAATGAAGACCAAAAATGGAAGGAGGTTTACATCTTCCCTTAAATTGAAACGAAAAGGCATTGAAGTAATGGGAAAATGGAAAACTGTGCAAATCGACCCAAATTTATTTGCTGATGAGGAGTTTAGAAATATAGTATGCTTGGAGGAACTTACAGAGTACGAATTAGTAAATTCTTCCAAAGTGGGGAAAGTAAAAGAGAAGAAGAGAAAGGCTGAGAGTGTTTCAAAAGAAGACGATGAGGAGGAAGCCCTTGTCACTCCTCGCAAAAAGAAGAAGAAAAACAAAGATTTGAGAAGCAAACCAGATAAAAGCACTGATCCTCACGTAACAGAAGTTAATGTGCCAGTTAATAAAGAGGCAAAGGGTAACGCAGTAACTGGAGCGGCGGATTGTGAGCACCACAGACATGCGGCTGAGAGCAGTTCAAGCACAAAAGATGCTCCAAAGAAAAAGAAGGTAGCTAAAAATCAATCTTCTCAAGCTCAGGAAGCTGTCACAGCAGTATCAACTTCTAAAAAAGTTAAAAACTGGACAACAGAAGTTTTGTCTGCCTCGGCTGATCACCACGCTGATGTGTCTGCATGGAAAGACCTGTTTGTACCTGAACCAGTGTTGCAGGCCTTGAGCTACCTGGGGTTTAGTGCTCCAACTCCTATTCAAGCCTTAGCCTTGCCTTCTGCCATCCGGGATCATATGGATGTTCTTGGTGCTGCAGAAACAGGTACAAGTCTGGTAACTTGCTGTGTATGCTGGGAACTTCCCATCTCCCTTCTTTAAATGCAGCTCATGGTTCTGAGTTTTCGTATGGAGCAGAAGAAGCATTTCTATGTAGGAGAAGAGCTGGTAGCTTCTGCATATCTGATATATTAGTGACAATTCCTTGTGAAATATTACAGCTTTGTAACTTAAAAACACAGGATGTTCCATCTTTACAAAGCGCAGTGTACAAATCTTTGAGGTCTCAAGGAGATTTTAGGCTTTTGACAGAACTCTGTTTTTCTGTTGTTTCTCAAAATGTTTCCTATTTTGGGAACTGTAAGGTGATACACTGCAAAGAGCTGAATTAATGAAACAAACAGGGTTGTTTTTCTAACAGGCTGACTTCTGGGGATGTTCCTGTGCCAGGGCAAAGCAGAGAACTAGGCTCCTCTGAAAATGATTCAGTACAAGATTGGAGCAGTAAATAAATACTAGGCACAGTGTTAGGCTTCAATGTTGTCTAGGCCTTTATCGTAGCAACACAGGCTCACCCTGTTCTGTCTCTGGGCTTGGCCTGTACGTTGACACCAGCCCTTCTGGATGCTTGTGATTGAAGTGAGTATTCCATTAGTAACTTGAGAGGTTCTGTTTCTTCTCCAGCTTGTGATCTACTCACGCCTTTGTCCTTGAGTTGCTAGCCTTTGTGAGCTTTGTAATAGCTCCTTTTTTACTTAATGCTGTGAAGTCTCAGCATCATGTTCCCTCTTACTTTTTTGCTGCTCATACCTTCAGGCTTTGTTTTCTACAGGGGTGCAAGGTTTACAAAAAACAAAAAAAAAAACCCACCACCTAAAAATAGGAAGCATAAGTAGAAGTTACATTGGTTTTAAAGGGCTTCTCTTGCATTCTTCTCATCTGTTCCAGTTGCCTTATCTCACTGCTTGTCTTGTAAAGCCATTTATTGCTCTTGAGTATGAAGGTATAGTAACTAATAAGATACACAGTCATTTGCATTTTTATTTTAATTAGAAGCGAGGCTGGTGCTGTTAGCTTTAATAAGGTTGAAAAGCCCCACAGGGAGTGTTTTTGAAGATGGGACTGAAGATTTGAGTGCTAGTTTTGTGCTGCAAAAAAGCACCATTTTGGCAGTGCTAGAAAGCAAATCCTCCTCTATCTGCAGAATGGAAAGCACAGTTGATGGCAGGTTGTGTTATTGCTGTTTAGTTTTGCATAGCCCAGAGGTAGAAGGGTTGTGTTTTGCTCAGTTATTTTCTTTCATGAGAGAAAGCCAGGTTCTTTCCAGAGAGCCCTGTGGGCCACCGGTGTTCCTGTAGAAACCTGAGAGAAGCTGTGGACAGTTGTCTGTTAGAAAATGCTGCAGCTGGAAGAGGCTGACTCTCCAGTTCTTTCTTTCTACACCTGACAGGTTCCCTGAGCATTGGGCCTGAGGGAGGAAGGAGGCAGGTGGAAGAAGCATTCATCTTCCCTTTTTGGTAGCAATACAGGGATAGTGGAAAGAGATCCCTGTGGAGATCAGGTGCAGGAGATGTCAAGGCTTGTTGGTTTTACAGTGGATACAACCAGTTCTGTTCATTACCATGCAGAACTAGTGAAGTTTTTGGTTAAGGAACCAAATTTTATGTCTAAAATCTGAAAATCTAAAACCCATTAGCTTGAGCTGTAGTGTCTGGGGGTACCAAGGTATACTTTCCTGCTGGTTTTGCAGGCCTGGCTATGGTATGTGATCTGTGTGTTGTGATGATAACGTGCTCTGTGAGGTGATTATATGTTTAATTTGTGGGTGAACCTAGTGCCTACAGAACAGTCCTGATTACTGTACTTAATTACTAGATTATTACTAGATTACTGCCATAATCTAGCAGTACTGACATTTGCACCAGCCAAACTGCATTACGTTTAATTTGAGATCACCAGTGTTTTTCACCTTAAAAAATGATGTTCTGCTAAAACTGTGAGCTGTTGATAGATCAGGAAATTAGATGATGGGAGTATTTCAAAATACAGTTTCTTAGAAAGTTGTAAACACAGTACTGTAAGTTGAAGATGGAAGCAAATCCTTCAGGTACATTCTGGTTTGTCCTTGGCCTCATTTGCTAATCCTTTATTTGGAGAATGTTGATCAGAACTGTCAATTAGGGCATGGTATTCTCCTTAAGGGCATACAGTTCTTTAAAAATATCTTGGCTGCAACTGCAGGTTTAAAAAAACACTTTCAGAACAAATGAATCTTCCTGACCTGCTAGAGGCTGGAAAAATACCTGTTCCCCAGAAGTGTGCTGTTGGTGACCTCAGGAGATGTGCAAAGAGAATAGGTGAAAGATGCTCTTGCTGCAAGTTTCTGGTCTTCTAAAGATCAAGAGGTTGTGTCTTTTACAACTTCGGTTTTAAGAACAGTGTTGATTGGCTGTTGCTTTTCTTTTCAAATAAATGATTTGTCAGCCTGTATTCTTTTTTTTTTTTTAGGAAGCGGCAAAACGCTTGCATTTGCAATTCCAATGATTCACTCTGTGCTGCAGTGGCAAAAATCAAATAGCTCAACAACCAGAAATGACAGTGTTTCTAAAGAGTCCCATCAGCATCGTGATGAAACAAGATGGGAAAATGAGGATGAAGCAGAAAAACTAACCCATCAGCAGGTTGAAGACAGCAGAGATGAAGATGATGCATCTTTCACAACAGACTGTGTGAAGGTGCTGGATAATTTTGAATTTGATTCCAGTGATGAGGCACATGCTGTTGGCTCCCATAAAAAGAGGCCTCTTTTGGGGCTCGTCCTTACTCCCACAAGAGAATTAGCTGTACAAGTAAAACACCACATCGATGCAGTTGCAAAGTTTACAGGTACGTAAACCCCATGGGTCATGTCCCTCATTACACTGGATTTGGATCTTGGCGTTGGTGGTGAGCCAGAATGTCTGCCATGGTTTCTTCTGCATCATAAAATTGCAGCAGCTTTTGAAGGGTTAGGGTTTGTAGTCATGGGTGTTTGAGAAATGCATTAAGATTCTTCGGTGAGATGGATGTGGAAGTAAACAGTTGGTGTGGGGTATTTTGCTTTAAAATGTTTCTTCCTTCAAATAGCTATTGACTTGTGCTTTAGCAACACAGAGTCAATACTAGATACCCAGCCACAGCTAACTTTGTTTTGTATAATGTAGATTAGTTCCACATATATGTTTTTTATATATATATAATAATTTTCTTTTTTGATAGCCTTTTATCAGCCTGTGTAGATAATAGATACAGATATATCTAGACATATTATTTTGACCTATCTATCAAATAAATTATGGCCATACATTTTAAGTGTAGAAGGCATTGCTGGATTGTCTGATTTGCCTCCCGCAGCAGTCAGGCCACAGCAGATTGCTGCGGGGGGTTACGCCTGATGAAAGCAATTCCATCCTGTTCCTTTCTCTTCCAAAGCAGAGGTCAACGTGTCTGTTAAGTGAATGAGTGAGGATGTGAAACTGTTCAAGATGGGGAGAACTGGGAAGCATCTCCTTGCACTTCACTGTTTATTTGTTGAAGAGGATATGTAATGCAATGAGCTGCTTTTAAGCACATCTTCCTTTGATATCGCTACGTCCTGCTGTGTTCGTCAGTGTACAGCTGATTACAAGGCTAATTTTAACTCCTAGCCTGAAGTAATCAATTGATGTCAGTACAGTTCTGATAGGAGCAGAGCTATTTGTGTGTAAAAATCTGCTGCCTGAGTGATGTATAGGTGCTGCATTAGGAGAGAAAATGTTTTGATGTTGGCTTTCTTTGTTGTCTCAAAATCACTTGGCAAAAAAATCCCCACCTGGAAGCAGAGAGTTCTGCAAGCAGTAGGGAAGAGAGATCTGTGGTAGCATGGATAGTGGAGGAACCTGGCGTAGTAACATTGAGGTTGTCATGGGACAGTGTATTGTTTGAAGAGTGGAGTGGAATAAGCTATATGCAGAGTCTGTGAGTTCCAAAGCTAAGCTCCTTTTAGTACCTGAGGAAATTGCTTAAAGCTAATTTAGGGTCTGCACTACTGTGCAGTCCAGAGACTCATTAATTGGGTGGGAGCATTCTTGTTATGATTATTCCATAGCAAATGAGCAGTTGTTAGCAAGACAAGCATTTATCACTCTTAGTTTTGGAGGGGCCTGATGGTTATTCATACCAGGGACATGCTTGTTCATGCCGATATAATTGACAAAACATGAGATTCTGAAGTACAGGTAAACAAGGCTAGCAGGTATGGGGGATATACGTGATTCTTCCTGCTATTGGAAGACAGGTGCACTAAAAGAAAGATTACTTTCTTTTTGGCATCTAACTATAATGAGGATTTTTCTGTAAAATTGAGTCCATTGCTGTGTGTTCAGTGTTACAGAAAGCCCCTGAAGTTTTCTGGCCAAAACGCTTACTGAAAGTTGTAGTAGAGACTTTTAAAAATGCTTCTTTGAGCGGCTGTATGTTAAAGACCTTCACTGATGAATGAGTGAGATAAAAACTACCATTTCTATGTTCTAGGCATTAAGACTGCAATTCTAGTTGGAGGCATGGCTGCACAGAAGCAAGAACGTGTGCTGAATCGAAAGCCAGAAATTGTGATTGCAACCCCAGGCCGTTTGTGGGAGCTGGTTAAAGAGAGACACCCACATCTTTCAAATCTTCGGCAGCTCAGGTAAGGGTGCCTTTCAGCATAACTGCAGGATGCTGGACTGGCTGCCACTGCATACTGATTATATTTGCTAACTGATCATTTTAGACTACATAAGTTCACTTATTTCTCTGCCAGAGTGTTTTATTGAAATGCACAGTGGTAATATGATGGAGGGAAATGTCAGTTAAAGCTGGTACCAAGAACCTCAGAGTTTCCTTTAGAAACCTGATTTTTCAAAAAGAAATCTGGAAAGCGGTTGTATTCACCTCAGCATACTTGATGTTCCTCTGGGTTTTACACACAGTACTTCCCTTCTGTATTTAGCAGGGAAAGTTCTTTTAAAGTATATTAAATTTACATTTATCTACACAAGTGTATTTTTACTGTGTGTTTTCTATTTGACAGGTGCCTTGTGATTGATGAAGCAGATCGAATGGTTGAGAAAGGTCACTTCTTAGAGCTGTCTCAGTTGCTGGAAGTCTTAAATGATTCACAGTATAACCCTCACCGACAGACTTTTGTGTTTTCTGCCACTTTGACTTTAGTCCATCAGACTCCCACAAGAGTTTTACAGAAGAAGAATGCTAAAAAGATGGACAAGAAGACCAAACTAGAATTGTTAATGGAAAAAGTAGGAATAAAGGGCAAACCCAAAGTAATAGACTTAACAAGGAAAGAGGCTACTGTTGAGACTCTGACAGAAACCAGAATCCACTGTAATACCAACGAGAAGGACTATTATCTCTATTACTTTCTCCTCCAGTATCCAGGAAGAACCATGGTCTTTGCAAACAGCATAGACTGTGTAAAACGCCTCAGCTCTCTCCTCACAATCCTGAGCTGTGAGCCCCTTCCTCTGCACGCCAACATGCACCAAAAGCAGAGGCTGAAAAACCTGGAAAGGTTTGCTGAGCGAGAGAGGTGAATTGGTTTTCTGCTTCCTAGTAGAGAAAACAAAATGGTGTAATGGGTAGTAGGGAGAGGAAGCAGCTCTGTTACAGTAGGAAACGGCTGGGAGAGTTAGCCATGGGTGCAAGCCCACCATCTATGAGCCCAGTTTATTTTTGATTAACAATGAGGTTTCGTAGGGTGGTTGAGATGATCAGCTGGAGTTAGTTCAGTGGAAGGTCACCAATGGTCAAGAAGCACTGGCTCTGCAAGGGGGAGAGGCTGGGGGCACTGGGTTTGTATCACCTGGGAAAAAGACTTTTTGGGGACCTAATGGCAGCCATCCACTGTAAAAGAATATACCAAGAAGATGGAGCCAGGCTCCATCACAGTAGTGTTTGGTAGGAGGATGAGGGATAGCAGGTTCAAGTCGAAATGAGAAGTTCAGGCTGGAGATAAGAGAGAGCATTTTGTCTGTGAGGACAGTCAGGCATTGGAACAGTTCTTCAAATTCTTAGGAGATTTTTGAGGCTCAGCTGGATAAAGACTTGAGCAGCCTGACCCAGCCTTATAGTTTATCCTGCTTTGGGAAGGAAGTTGAACTAAAGACCCCCTAAGGTCTCTTGTAGCCTGAATTGTCATGTGGTCTGTCAGCTCACTGGTGCTGAAGGAGCTGTCACTTGCCCTTGTTTCAGCCCTGTGCTTTTACAATCCTCCTGCACACCTCTGCCTCTGTGCCTTGGCTCTGCAGCTCATTTGGTCCTTGTTTCATCTCACTAAGCCATCAGACAACTAACCAGTTTTTACTGGGTTACAGTTGTGCAGATTTAGTTAGGTGACTTATCTTCCTGGGGGTCAAGATGTCCTAGAGCACTGCAAGAGAAGGGACATTTGTGCCTTTCAGCAGCAGTGGGCAGTCGGGTTTATCTGTCTGTCCTGCCATTTTAAGAATTTGCTTCCTGCTGGCTTTGGGATGGCCTTTGGGAAGAGGCTGGTGTTTTCAGTGCTTCCATAAGCCCCACAGTTCAGTCCTGCTGTGACGTGCTATCTGACCATGTGGGAACTTGTACCTTCGTAATAGATTCAGGCAGGGAGAGCAGATGCTGAATTTCCATGATAGATCTGCAGCATCACTTGGCAAAATATAGCATTGGCCTAGGTCAGACAAGGCATTTCCAGAGACTGCAGATTTTCAAGGCAAGAAGAAATCTATGAGATCATCTGTCATGGCATCTTGCAGATTGCAAGCCATAGAATTTTCTCTGTTTATTTCTGCTTTGAACCTTGTAGTAATAGAGTATGCAGTCAGGTGCCATGAAGTCTTAAATTCCCATTACCTGCAAGTGACTCATTTCAGTTGCTGGGAGAGTTTTTAAAAACTAATTGTCCCATACCCTGGGAAGACTTTCATCTCTGTAGTAGATGTTTTAAGAAGATGTTATAAAAGAATTACTTTTTTTTTTTTTAATAGTTTTTCATTTCTAGGGATAAGGAGAAATACTCATTGTCTGAACAGAATCTCCTCCTTTATATTTCTAGCTTTTCATTTACTGAGAGAACTTACTTGAATGCAACTTGGTAGTAGATATTTTAGCCCCCAGAAGCTGTTAACTAAATCTATAATGTTAATAATTTGATTTTTCTTAACTGGTAAGACTTGTAATAACATGTCTGTCCTGCCAAAAAATCAACTGTTTTTAATTAAATGGTCATACCAAGCTAAAGATATTTTTAAGCCCAGCCTGGGCAGAGCACTGAAAGATGTAATGAAGGGGAGCGTACACCCCTTCCAGGTGCTCATTGAGCAGTGATTTGTGCTAGCATTCCTGTGAATTGGGAGAGAGTAAAAGCACAGAAAACCAGGATCCAGCAAGGTAGTGAATTTCTTTGTTGGAAACAGAACAGACCTGCTGAAGGTAACATTTGCGTTTTTTTTCCTTTAGTTTAAAAATTGCTATTTCAAGACTGCCTCTGATGTAATGCTGGCTATGGTCTTCTGTAAGGGGAAACAAATAGCATATTTCCAGCATATGACGTAGTGCAAATCTGTTCCTTAAATTGGTGGGATGGAATTCTAGGTTGCTGTGTCTTCCGCGTGTGTTCCTTGGCAGGTGGTTTACTCTTCAACTTCATTAAATGTTATTGCTTTTGTAGCTGTGTCCTCCTGACAACAGATGTTGCAGCTCGTGGTCTTGATATTCCCAACGTGCAGCATGTCATCCACTATCAGGTTAAATGTTTTTAATGTTTTTGCTTCTGCTGTTTGGCTTTGAAGTAGGCTTTGGCTGATCCAAACCCTGAACGCTATAAAGCTGTGATTCTCGGTCCTGTGTATCCTGTAGTCCTGAGTGCAGAGATTTAATCATTATGAATTTAACTGTCCATAGTGCTTTGTACTGAAGGGTCTCATTGCTGGAGTGACTGACTGTGGTAGTTAGCACTTCATGGATGTGTGATTATATATGAGAAATGGCATAACAGATGTCATTCTCCTTGGGTTTTGCTTAACTTTGATATCCAGAGGTGTCAGATGACTCAGCCCTGTAACTCTTCTCTGAGGAGACACACAGTTTTTTTTCCTACTTTGCAAGTGAAATGATAGAGCATTAGGGGAGACCCACGAAAGATTATGCAAGGAAGGATACTGGACCAGAGAACAAAAAGTGTCTCTAGACATCGTCTTTTACTTCACCTCCAGCTGTGCTATGTGCAATGTACCATATGTGTATAAAACCCAGTATTCTCTGGCTGCCTCTTGGCCAAAGCGTGACAGGCTGCTGCCAGCTTTCCATGTCCAGCTTCATGTTTTTTCTGAATATTTTCAGGTCCCTCGTACTTCTGAGCTGTACGTTCACCGAAGCGGCAGAACAGCCCGAGCTGCCAATGAGGGCCTTAGCCTGTTGCTGATTGGCCCTGATGACTTGATTAATTTTAGGAAAATTTATAAAACTTTGGAGAAGAGTGAAGAGCTGCCATTTTTCCCAGTTGAAACCAAGTGCATGACTTCTGTCAAGGTAAAGAAGCAACAATCTCTTTGCAGCCTGAGTAGTTGCTTGCTTACCTATATTACTGCATTGCCCATCATGTTCTTTGCAAGTTTCAGATGCAATTTACTTTTCAGGACTTGGATTTTGAAAGTTAAGGTTTGAAATGTTGAAAATTTAAACTGCAGTTTATCTTTAAGCAATATTTGATTTCTCCTCAATAGCTGGATGGAGAAAAGTGTTCCAATATAAACATTGCTCACATTTTTCTTGCACATTATGTAGAGCTCCTCCTGACAGATTTCCCAAAAACAGTATAGGGAAGTGAGGATGTTTTGTGGCTGGGGAGCTGGGGTGGCTCTGTTAAGTATGCTGTTTAAAGCCTCTTGTGTTAGGAATGGACTAGAGAACAGTAGCAGGTCTAGGGATCTGTAGTGGTCTTCATCCACCTCTTCTCAGTTGAAATAGTGAGTTGTCTGCTTCTCTAAAAGTTCCTGTACTGTGAGGTCACAGCTGCTGCTGAACCCTTTCAGACCAGCTATGTTTCCTTTTTCTAGGTTATTGCCCATCTGAAGGAGAATTCAGCCATTCACTAACTCACAACATTAGACAATGGTTAGGATTTACAAACCCATATATTTCAGAAAGCATTTAGTCACTGCAGATTTTCTGCTTCTTGAATAGGAGGCCGTTTCATGTCTCAGCAGTCTCTTTAACAGTTTGGATGACTTCAGCCATGTATCAATGGGACATATTTAAATATTGAGCTTGAAAGAAATCCGGCTGGGGTTGGACTATCTGAATATTGCACAGTCGTTGAGAACAGGAGAAAAAGGCAAGCAGTCAGTGCAACAGAGATCTTCCTTGTGATATTCTGGTTCATGTTTATCTGGTTGGCTTGCACCAGGCCCAGGGTCTACTCCAGTGGCAGCAGTAGTGTCCTCACCTTGGGATTCACGTCAGCAAGTTTCTAAGCCCAGATTGCTGCAAATGGGGTATTTAGTGTGAATCTGCCAAGAGATGCAGCTTTCTGAAGGAGGAAGACAAATGAATCCACAGGCTCATTTTTTTCCTCTTGGTAGTAATACAGTAACACAGAGAATTTTGATTTATTTTTTTCCATCTATCCCCAAGTCCCCCTCCCCCCCTCCCCAATGTTTCTGGTTAGTGAAAGAAATCTGTTGTTTTTCGAGCGTTTCTTCAGAGGTCCCTTCTATGTTTCTTGATGAGTAGTTCTTGGCTCTTACCTTGTGCTGTCAATTAATGGGCAAATAATTTTTGTTTCCACGCTTCAATTTTCCTGCCACCATCTCACTATCTTCTATCCATAATAGTGCTCCTCTCCCCAGAAAAAAAACTTCCACTTTGCCTTGGGCTTAATGGCAAAGCCGTTGTAGTTGGGACTAATAGTGCTGCAAGTTCTTTGTCTGTCCCTTTGGCATGCTCCTTCCCTGGTTCTGCATGCCTGCCTTCAAGTTCAGGAAAAGCCTGAAGGGATTTCACACTTGAGAGGAATAGAATTGGTCAGCCAGGGTAGAGGAGAGACCAAAAAGGACTCAAGTTTTATAAAGATGGAAAAAGTATTTAAAATTTCTTGTAATGATCTAAAAAGAAGAGACTGATTTGTTTTATTAGTTGGCTGTACATTTAATTTCCTCTGTGTCTCTGGGTTAATTACCTGGCAGTTCTGGCTGGTGCTGTTACAGTGTAGAACCAGATAATTCAGTTGTGGTGGTCAGGGTGTCCTGCACAGGGTTTGTTTTGTGCACCCACAGGCACATTCCAAACCACAGAACTTGCTGCTGGCTTAATTATTATTTGCTGTCAGTGCAGGTTTTCTTTCCATAATGAATAGGTTATTTAAGACAGCTTGGCCCAGCTGGAAGGCTGCAGGTCAGGTTTGGGTTTGTTGGACATCTCTGTTCTATTTGTGTGCAGCTGGGAAGAAGGACAGGACATTTTGTCCTGTGCCTAAACAAGGTCCAGGTGCATTTCTGAGAGCATGAGTAGGTCCTTCCATATGGCCTGCAGGAGCTTTCTTCTTCAATAGGATGAAGCTAGCAGCTGTCTCTTCTTGCTGAGACTAGTAACTTTTAAGATCCAGCTGTACTACATAAATATGTCACTTGGAAACTATTGGTATCTGAGCCATGATGTGTCCTTGATTTCTCTGAAGTGTTTGTAATGATTTATTTAAAGAATAAGGTGTTAACATTCAGGCATGTTCAGTAGGTGAAATGTTTTAGAAGTCAGATTTTATTATGGATCTGAAGAAGAACACTTTAGCAAACAATTACATGTCTTTATTACATTGGATATCTGGGACACCAGTAGAGAACAAGTGTATCTGCATCTCAGTTGCATTGTAATGCATGCTCTCAAACATTGATTCTGCTAAAGTGCCTTCCCCACCCCCATTTAAACCTGAACATAATGTCTAAAATTTATTTTTGTTGCAGGAGAGGGTGAATTTGGCACGGCAGATAGAGAAGGCAGAATTTTTCAACAGTCGGGCAAGGCAACATGACTCCTGGCTCCAGCAAGCTGCAGAGGCTCTCGAGATTGATCTTGATGATGACATGCTTATGGGCAAGTAAAAACACTTCTGTTTGGGTATGCTCAGTTGGTCCCATAGCACTGGTGTCCAGAAGGATCCCCACCACGGCAGAGAAGCTCTTAAAACCTGCAGGAGAGAGGGGGAAGGAAAGGAGTGGTGTTACTGAGTACAGGGTGTTGCTGGTGTTTTCAGGGTGATTTTCCAGTAGGTTGGTGCTGGAGCTGAGGGAGTGAGGTGTGAATTCTGCCAGTCAGAGATAAGTCCATGTGTCTTAGGACAAGAGCTGTTTAGCTTCTGGCAAACATTTTAGGGTAATCTAGCAGCCCAGTATGTCCTGCTTGAATCTCATGCATTTTATCTGAGCAACAGGTCACCCATTTTATTGCTGCATGGACACTGATATTCTTGTACTTTCAATCTTTGCACTCACCTGTCAGTCCACTCTTCATCACCTATAGCTTGTATTTCCATGTTGTAGTAAAAATGGAAACTGCAGGTGTCCACTGTGCTTGATCTAAAGGCATCTGTGTGTGACTCAGTTAAAAGTTCACTGAAGTGTCCCACTGCTTTCCACAACTAATACTGGAAAAGGGAAGCTGTGCCAAAGAAAAAGCTTTCTCCACTTCTCTCCCACCCCACTGTAGTCAGGCAGCAGGACAGGAGCCTGACAGCTCTGCATGGGAATACCCAGGAAGCACTAGCAAACACCAAAAATTATGCAAGCCTTACATAGCTTGAGTTGTGTGGGCTAAGTGGCCAATACTTACATTTGAGTTGCTGAGGGTTTTTGGTAGTGTGTTAAAATATAAGAAGTTATTTCCTTCTAAAAATTAAATGTTCTGCGGGCTGTGCCTGAGAGAATGTGTAGGGCTGTGCAACTACAGGTGCCTGTTAGTTCAATGCCATGAAGTTTTGCAATGCTTAGATGCACTGTAAAATCCCATGTTGTATTCAAACTTCAGGAGCTGAAGGTGTGATCTACTACCAGTTCTTTGAAGGCATGCTCTATAATAGGAGTTCTGCTTAGGTCACTTCAGCTTAAGCTGCCTGTAGCCTGTTAGTTGCTGAATTTGCAGATGCCTTAATTTTGAAGCATGGTCAGATTAATTTTTTTCTTTCCTTTACTGATGAGTAGAGTAGCTTGTTCTCAACCACTTTGCAAGCAAGAACTGATTGTCTCTGCCCAAACTGTTCAGGAGCTCTCTCAGATAATTAGCACTCTGTCTTGTTTTCACAATCTGAGTATGCTGTGCTTGGAAATGAGTTTCAAAACAGCACACCCAGTCCAACTCAGTAGTGTCTCTCAAGTGAAGCACTTTGTAATTGCCACTCAGAATCTTGCCAGATTCATGCTTTAAATTGTATTCCGTCTCTGATTCTTCCATAGCTTGTTGAAGACCAATTAAAATCTTGGTCATTCCTCCCATAAATTAAATGCTTTTTATACTGTTAGGATTTAATAATGTCCTTTCAGTTTACACTACAGCAACCTTGATTTCATTTATTCTTTCTAGTTCGGGCCTCTGACCATATTAACTCTCTCCAGTCTTTTATATGCCCTTCTTTCACAAGTGATGTTAAATCTGAGCACCTTGTTGGTCTTTATGTATAAGGAGGAAAGGACTCCCTGCTTTAGAGGTGCTGAAATGAGACACACATAATGTAATGAAATAAACAGAAACTTCTGCCTGAGCTAGCAGCCCTGGGTTGACAGCTGATCTCCTGGGCCCCTTTTCCTTTTGTTCCCAAGTCTCTTCTGTGTCAAGAGCCAACTGAATGATTTAGCAGAATGATACCTGGGGTATAGCTACTCAACAGTCAGGATTCTTCTCGGTCTTGTTATCTGATGGACAGCCTGGGTGATCTGCCAGTGTCACAGATGACTTGAAGACTGTGGGAGTTGCGTGACCTTGTTAGTGAAAGATAGATGAGATTAATATCTGCCCCTAGTCCTACAGAAGCCTGGTGAAAGAGGCCAATGCAAGTTCTTCTCTTGTAACATTCTGTATATTTCATTTCTGCCCCAAGGAAGAAAAGCTAGTGAGCAAGAAGAAAGCCAGAAGCAAAAGATGCTGAAGGGGATGAAAAAACAATTAAAGCATATGTTGTCCCAGCCACTGTTTAAAGTCCTTATGAAGACCAAGTACCCAACACAGTCTGGAAAACTACTCCTGCCTCAGACATCAGTGGGTAATTCAGAATCTGCTCTTGGTACTGTGTCCAAACAACAAGCCAAGAAGAAGAAATCAATAAAATCAAATTGAATGACAGAGCAAGATCACTCAGTGCGAGGGAAGCAAGGACAATCCTCACTAGGCTGTCAGTGGTTATGGAGCTACTCAGCTGAGAAGACACATAATATCAGAGACTGTTGCCTGTGTCTTGGTGGTTCAGGCACAAAGCAAAATGTTGATGTAAAGTACTCTGTTAACGTGTGGTTACTTACTGTTGAATCTTGTCTTGGATCTTCGTTTCTTACATTCTTTCTTTTTCTTACTTTTTCTTACTCTATTAATAGAAGTTGATTGGTTTTGAAATAGTTCTGTTTATTACTCCTTTTTGTGAGATGGGTAGAGTTCACTGTGGGCATACTGGAATGATGAAACTTGATTTGAATTTTCCTGTCCTTAAAGGGGAAGGTACTATGAAAGACCATGTACAGGCTGAGTACGGTCTGAGCTGGTGTTAATGGAAGGTTTGGCTTTTACTACACCTAGTTCAATGAGAAAGGTACCAAATACAGATAGTGCTAGCAACAGGTCTACAATTCTGGTTATGGAAACGTCTCCCAATTTTCTTTCTCCTCTGGTAATATTTCTCTGTTCTGTCCTCCACTGGGTCTAATTCCCTTAGTCCCGTGTTAATATGTTTTTGAATGTGCAAAAACAGTCAAGTTAACAATGGGCCAGGATTGACCTTGGCAGATGGGTAGAATTTTGAGGAATAAGTGTTGCTATGCATTGTTTTAGTAATATATATTTGGAGTTGTCTGTATTTGAAAATGTTAGAACTATGACCTTTGCTTTAATGGAAAAGGTGATGATGCAGTGAAATGTCACTTTTGAAGACTGCTTCCTGATAATTATGCTTTTAAATCATTTTAACCTGACCTGTGCAAAATAATTTTAAAAACTATTTTTAAAAATCAGAAAAATATTTTTTGAATCTTTGTTACATTATATCTGCTATAAAACCCAAAGCTTGTGTTTGTTTTCATTCACTTGAGATTTCCAAATTCCTCATAGCTGATGCCCTTTGCACTTAGGCAAGGAGAGGGGAAAAGCATCTAAGAGGTAAGACATAGCAACGGGGTCTGTATTGGTGGGAGCACAGGAAACCTTCACCTGCCAGCTCTAGATTCAGGCTGAGGTTTTGTTTCATACAATACAGAACTAATGTCACTGCTGTGATAGGAGGCATCAGTTTACTCATGTAGTCAAAGAGAAATTTGTGGGATTGAGTGGCCCCTCCAACCACTTGCTGGTTATGTGAGAACAACAAACTCTTTATTCTCATCTATGAAAGTAACGGAAGGCTCCCCTACTCCCTCATCTCTGGAGGGCTTTTCCCTTGCTTCCTTGTGTTACTGAAGAAGAGCTATGACAGTTTAATCATAAGCATACATAGCCTGTCAATTATATATGAAGCTTTCCCTGCAACACTCAGTTTGTCTCAGGCCTTTTGGAGTAGAGGGGAGGAAGTTTTGAGGGGAGGGAAGAGGAAAAGTTTGTTTCCTCACCGTGTGAGAAGCCAACAAATCTTTGTGGTGAATGTGACATCTGAAAAATAAGAATTTAGAGAAATTTCCTTCTGAGGAAAGCTGAAAAAAGGAACTGAGAAAAGGCAATCATACCCTCATTCCTTTTCCGTGCCATTTTAATCACATTCTTATATTAAGGAAAGGAAACTTGCACCAGTTTTGCATCCCTGGAGGGACAGAAGACCAGGTGGGCCTTTTCTGCACTGTGCGATGTATTTCTGCTTACAATTCGTCAGCAAAATCAAGGCTGGATCCTGACACAAGAGCCCTCGATCTTCTTTGTCTGAAAATCTGCATGAGGTAGGACAGTTTTGGCAATTTGTAATTCCACATGGTCCTGGGGAAAGCTGAACTGGGGAACAGTGAGAGTATTATTTCCTCTCCGTCATTGCGATGAAGTTTTTCAGCTGCTTCTGTTCCACAGTGTTTAACAACCTACTTCTCACACTCCCACCCCTCTGTCTGGCCCTCAGCACACTGTCTTGTACTGTCTCTCCAAGATGGAGCATGACACTTCTGCCCTCCTCCTTGCCTGTGGCATGCTCAGCTGCTGGTTTTCTCCTGCAGCCTCTGATTTGCTCAGCATGAGCTCTCAATGCTTAATCTACTGATGCTGCACCCCCACAGGAGCTCAAGCTGAGTCCCGACCCTAAAAATATCTCAATGTCTTAAAAAGAATGCTTGTCTAGTGCTCTGAAAGCTCTTTTGTGCCTGCCTGCTTTGCCTTGTCTTACCGGGGTGCTTTGAGTCTTCTACCTAGAGGAAGAACCTTGTACTTGCTTTAGCTAATTTAAACAAAGTATTTCACAGAAACTGGAAACTGTTACCACTTGGCTGCATTCCTCCAATGGGAACTAGGTTACTGCAGGAAGAGGGGAAGGCAGAGGAGAATGTTTTCTCCAGCTCTGATCATTTTCATGGATATCACTCATGCAACCTTAACACAAACAGTTTTGCGTCAAGCAATTTAATTTCAGTATTTAATGAAATACATGGTATAAATTGGTTCCTGTAATGCTCTACTGGCAGAGAAGTTAGGCTAAGGCCTCATACCAGTAATCTTGTTTAGTGGCAGCTTATGTCTGCTAAAATACCCATTGATTTAAGAAGTAATTAAGCCTATTTAGGTGGTTCCAGCAACTTCGAAGTAGATAAAGAAAAGCATGCGTTCACCAGAGAGTTTGTAGGGCAAAGCTGATACAGAGCACCAGCACCACATAACAGAAAACTGAAACCTTAGTAGATTCTGAGCCTTGGATTTTATTTTGTGAATGTGTGGGGCCAGCTGATCTCATCCTTGTCACAGAAATCCTGGTCTGTCGTAGGCCTATCGAGAGTGGAAAGAGTCCCTGTGGTTTAAGACATCTGCTGAGGAGATAGTTTGGACAGGATCTCACATATTGGACAGCAAAGTTTCCTGACATTCTCCTGCCACTTTTCTTTCTCTCTTCCCCCGTGTGTTAATAAAACAGCAAGCTAGCAAAGCAGAAGCTGGAGTGCTGCCTTGCCATATGCCAGCAGCCCAGGCACATGGCTGGCCATGTGGCATGGGGAAGTAATTTGTACCTTACTGAGAAAGGGCTGATACCATAAAAGCCAGCCAGAAAGAACTTCCAGAGGTTAAGTGTTTTAACTTTCTGGAATTATCATTCTTTTATTGGCACCAGGGGAGTGGGGGAATAATTCCTCCTAGCACTTACACCACAGGTCCACAGAAGTGTTATTATATAACCCAAGATTCCTCATGAATATTTGCATATTATTAACCCTCTTTCCGTAAATTATTTAAATATTATAATGCCCCTTGTGTTTGTGTAGTCATATTTCTTGGTAGTCATCAGGGTCTTCTGTGGTTGTTTTCCTTTGTCCTCCTTTCCTTGACATTCTTCTTTCTTGATGGAGGTCTCTAACCTGGACCTGCTTCATGGACCTTCCAGGCCTGTTTGGCAAGTCCTTTGCCTTATCAGGCCTGGCAGATGGTTAAAGGAAGAGTAACTTGACCCTAACAGCCTCCTCAACTTACTCTCCTTTCAAACAGCAATCTCCTCAATGCCTTCCTTTAAGCTCACCAACTTAAATAATGGCTGGCTATAGAATGACTAACCTAAATAACAACCTCACTGTATGTTTAGCATCTACGTGCAAAGCTCAGCAACTTATAGGATGGTTAACTTAAACAATGGCTAACCTAAATAACAATTTCCTAAAAGCTTCCATAGTTAGTTTATAGTGTCAGGGCTGGGTACCTTGCACATGCGCAGTCAGTCTGTGTGTCTAGGTCCCTAAGGGAGAGAAGAACATAGGAAAAGGACAGTTTCTGATGATTTCACCTCATACTGCCTGACACCAGGAAGAAAATCTGGTAATAAACACTGTGCTTACTTGGGTGTTAAAACACTCACTGTTTTGTCTTGTGCTAGGAGGTTGCCTTGGGTGGTTCCAGATTGCTTGATGAATGGCCTGGTGAAGGAAGGAGCTCAGAAGACCATGAGTTGAGTGACTAGTAACATGTTTCTAGTATAGCAAGCAACAATATGTAAGCAATATTCAAGAGTCCTTGCAGAAAAGCAGGATGTTGCCAGAAGTGATAGGACCAGATAGAGGAAGGGAGGCACCAGACAGAAGGGCTTTCTTTTAGGAAATGATCCTGTTCTGTAACCCTGTAGATTCCTTCTACCACCACCCCGTTCTGATACCTGGGCAGATGCTGTGTGATATTTTTCTGGCCTGTGTCAGATTTCCTATTTCAGCTCCCTGTTGAGAAAGGTACTTCTAGGCTTCACTGTTTTCTGAAGTCAGTCAAAAGCTCCTCCTGGGGTTGGCCTCACAGAGTGGATAAGAAAGAGGGAAATAACCTATGACTCCTGAAAAAAGTTCATTGGCCTGAACCAAGTGAACAGAGCTGCTACACTTGTTTGTTTTGGATTTCAGCAGCTCTTGCTGTGAAGCTAGAAGAAATTGTAGCCTGTTTCCAGAGCAACCAACTTTAGATGGTACAAATTGCCAAATTTCTGTAGGTGAGGGCTGGAGTTACAGAGCAGAGACCCAATTCCTGGTTTGGAAAAGGAGAAGGGGCGTTGCAAAGTACACAAGGGGTTTGGCACCACTGGGCTAATTAGAGGCCTGATTTTCTTTTATTATTGATGTAATTATATCAGTCTAATTGGTGATATGAACGCTTTTATAGGAGTAGAGTTTAGTTTCCTTTCCTCATGGGAATACTTACACCAGTATAAGCAATTTTAGTACTGACAGGTGTTGTGGTCATCAGCCACTGTAACAGGGTCTGACCCTAGGATCCTGCTGATCGGTAAAAAGTCCAAGTGAAGGTTTCCAGTTCTTCTTTTATTAGTTCTCAGGTTACAGCTCAAGCTGGGTGCCCCTGCAGCAAGACCCCTACCCCGGATGGCATCCCTTAATTATACTCGTAGCACCCAGCACCCAATCCCCAAGTTCAATCACTTAATTATGGTCAGTGGTCTCTTTATTTCTACTCATTTTTGC